TAAATTTGGACAAAAATTTGTAATATATAATGGTTATTACAAAAAAAGAACTCATTTCAATGATATCAAAAGCACCCCGAAATTCTTATCTGTATGCATATTTACATATTTTATTTTCGATTGATTTCAATCCCCTTTTGTACTGTTGATACATTGTTGATTCAGGTTTACAAAGTTGGTTAAGAATGTTATTTCCTGCAGACTAAGACTAGCGTTTTTTTGGGCAACGTGGAAAATATACATAAAACGGTTTGGATTTTTGAACGACACTGCAAAGTTTAAAGAAAACAAACAAATTTCAGGAGAAAAATGTGAGATTCAAATTATCTAAATGCGATTAGTGATTTTAAGTGTGACATGTCAAAAAACCTGTCACTAATCGACATTGTAAAAAAAAAAATAGGTGGCGGGATGATCCTTTTGCGATTTAAAGAAGGGAAATCCAGAAGGAAAACGATCGACAAGATGTCACCTTTCGTAATTCTTGCTACATCATATATTGACGTCATCTTTTTTTATCCAAGTTTGGCCCCAAAATAAAAACATTGTAAGCCACATATTTTATTGATGGTGGAAGGAAATTTAAATAAATATATGAATATAATATATATATATTTAATTTATTTATTTATGTATATATTTAACAAAAAAAACAAGAAATAAAGGCAGGTGAACTTTCGACAACCAACCAATTGAGGGTTCGTGTGTGTCAATATTCTTTTATTTTCCATTTGTTTCCATTAAAAGATATTAATTTTTGGTTACAAAAAAAATTTATTATCTACGGCGGATCTTGCGATCATTGCGTAACCAAATAGATCCCTTTTGAAATGGTAAGGTGCACTGGCCACTTGTGTCACACATAATTTTTTCAAGATAAATCGGGTTTTTTGTTTATTTTTTTTTTTTTTCCCCTAAATGTAAAATTCGAATTATGTAAAACAAAATGTTTAAATGAAATCATTATGAAAAAGGGTTATAATGTGGATGGTTGTATAATTAATTGGTGGTGACGAAAAAAGAACGAGTGGCGTCCACGTTGAATACACACTTTTTTTTAAACTTTTGGTGGTGTCCAAAAAGGGGGGGATGCGGGCCCCATTTATTTTTGGGGGGAGAAGCTACGTTTTTCTATTGAAGGAATCTTCATGTATTGACAAATTTACGTCACACTGCAAGTAAATTCAAGTTCATAACGTGTATTTTTACCAAAGTAATAGGAATTTCTTAATGTCTAGTTCTTAGGATACCGGGAGTATTTTAAGATTGAGGTCGATGGCTCCCATCAAAATGAACATTCTCTGCGAAAAACGAAAAGATTTTCAAATATGCACGTACAGTTAAATCATGTGATTTAAATGAAAAATCGAGTTTACCATAAATGAAATTTAAAAAAAAAGGAACCCAAACCTTGTTAAGGGAAAATTTCCTTACAGCAGCTTTCATGAGGATTTTTACGTATAAAAAGGCAAAGAATATGGTTGTGCATGGATCAATTTTCTGATCGAATCTGTGATAAGTAAAGTTTTGGTGGGCTGAAGATTTATAAAAAAGGAAGTTTGTAATATACTATAAGTGTGAAATAAAAAAAATGCATTGTTCAGATGTTGGTTGGTGCGCACTAATATTGTTGAAGCATACAAGAGAATGGGAAGAGTGCAAAGGGCATTGACCCTTATCAAAAGAGATGTGAAAAGGCCTTATGTAAAAATTGATGATGTTGTGAAATTAATATAATCCTGTTTGATAATATGTATGAACTGTACCTGACGAAATGTCTTAACGCGAAATCTTTTTATTTTACTTATTGGCGCTATTAATTACCATAACGTAACGCTTGCAGCAAAAAACAACTTAACCTATAACGATAATGCTTATCGACGAGTTCTTTTTATGATACCACAACAGCATATTGTAAAAGAATAATAATAAAAAAAAAAAAAAAAAAAAAGAAAAAGTATAGAAAAGAAGGAGTGATATCGAGAACAGACTCTTTAATTTTGATATATTAGATGTCACATATACACATTATGTATTGTGACGATGTGCCGATTTTTTTTTTTTTGATAAGATGATTTTTTTACCCACATTTTTTTTTAATTTATTTGTTTATTTGAAGCATATGAAAATCATTGTAAATATATTTATTATTATGTTTATCATTGAAAAAAAAATATATTTTGCGTTACAAAGCTTAATATGATTTAGTGCGTACTATGAACACGTTTTTGTTTTTTTTTTGGCAATCGATTTTAAAGATAATGCGATAAGAGTTTGATTTGTTGATTGTACCGCATATTATTTTTTTTTTTCGTTCGAAGTATAAATTTCAAATTTAAAAAAAATTATCACATTTTTGAAACCTTCTTCAATAATTTTTCTTTTTTTTTTCATAAAAAAAAAAAATTTCTTTTTATTTTTTAAGAATATTTATCAATTTTTTTTGGTTCAACAAAATATTTTCAAAACAATTAATTTAAAGAACGCACTAATGATACATATCAAATAAAAAAAGATAATTTTGGACAAAAAAGTGTTAACGTTATAATTTTTACTAAAAAAAAAAAAAACCCTCACGCACATACCAACGCTGATTAATGACATTGCAGTTGATGCGGTTGACCTATTACATTATCACGTTAAATTTCATCCCCTAAAAGAATATTGTTCACATATTGACATTTTCAATGTGTAACGCATATGATGAGGCAACGTGTATTTTCATATTTTTCCACAACAAGAAACGCTGGGGGAGGCCCTGATTCATCAAATAAGCATTCATTCAAAAAAAATTTTAGATAAGCTATATAAGGTTTGGTGTTACAAGAGAATTTGGAGAAATTGGGAAATTTTTTCTTATCGGTGCCAAACGGGTTTGTGCAACATCTAATAATAAATGATTTGCAAAAAATTTTGGTTCTCTGAAATAATTGGGTAACTGATAAGAGAAAAATTTTAAAGTTCATTATTAAGGATTCATTATTTTAACTTTATTCCCCCCATCTTTATCTTTTAGGTAGAAAGAGATGTGATTACCAAGACTTATGTGAAATGAGAAAAGAGAGTTCTGTGTCAAAGTGACACCACAGAAAGGATATCGGGATAATTTGTGCATTGTCACCAAAAAAAGTTTTTCGCAGAATCACATTAGCATTAACAGATATATTTAGATAATGTAACAACAAGGACTTTTTTACACAATAAAATTCCCCACTTGAAGGAAACGCTTATAAAAGGATAAAGTAAAGGATGCGCAACAATGGTTCTTGCATTACATTTGTTTTATTGAAAGCGGATTCCTCCTCTTTTCTAAAAACTTCCTTTGTGTGCTCTAAAAGTAATAATGCACGGCGTAACGTGATGTGTTTCTTACATTGCACATCATTTGGTTAGCTGTGCATCTTTGAAAGGATGTAAATAATAATGAAAACAAAAGTTAACTGGATAAAAGAATTGAATTTTTTTTTAATCTTTCCTTTTTTTCTTCCTTTTTCCTTAACGGGGAGGAATTATTTGATTGATGTTTCATGACCTAATAGATAATAAGGACTGAATTTACATATATCATATATGCATGGTAAGTCATTCCATTTATAAATGTTAATCTACAATATGATCAATATTATTGGATGTGATATGACGTACGATTTTTTATATTATTAACCTTTTTATGTCTTATCATTTGGATTATCAAAATTTAGCATAATTTTATGGATATATGGATCATCACTTTTTTTTTTCGTATTTTTTAAAAAATGGCGTTAATTTCCTACAGCATTTTTGAGAATCCGCATAGCATACTCTTTATTTTCTCAAAAAAAAAAAAAAAAAAAATTTCCCCAGTGTGATATGATGAATCATTACTCAATAAATTTAACAATCAAGTGAGAAAATTTAATGAAACCAAACCATATTCGTTAATATGAATTAACAATAAATAAATAAAAAGCTGGTTTGTTTAATCCCCGGATAACGAAACATTAGATGGCGTTATTCCTCCATTATGCGACTTGTATGCGAAAATAAACAGATAAACATGTGTGAGAATTCAAAAAGTTTATTTGTACCGCAGATTTCACAATGTAAACTAAATTAGAAAGAGGTTTATTCATTTTTTTTCCTTTGTGCAAAAGGGTTTTTTTTTATGGTAAATTTCCGCACAAAGATCCCGTCGTAAATATGTCGAAATCGAGAACTTATTTTGTCTTTGAATAGATTCGTGATTAAAATTAACATTTTTAAATCAATTATTTAAGAAAAGGAATTTAAAAAAGGAAATGATATATATATATTGTATATATATATATTATATTATATAGTAATATATATATATATAGATAGATGTGTAATATAAAAATATCAACATCACATATATTTAAATTTAAATGTATGTTTTAATTAAAAAGCAATCATTCTCGTTGTCAAACACTAACACGTCACAATGCCTAACAAATAAGTTTCTTTTTAATCAACCAAACAAAAAGTAACAAACATTATGGTGAGATGTTTTGATTTATCGATACTTTAGTAAATAAAAATGATTGTTTCACGACACGAAAATATTTATCGGAACACGAACGATTTCGTGTCCTTGCATCAAAGGTAAGGGATCTTTGGCCGAGTGCCGAGTATAAGCGTGATTTATCCCCGTTAATTCAAATGAATAAAATCAAATCCCTCTGTCGAATAATTGAAAAATTTTGCCGATTATTATTTTTATAGTAGGTTAGAATACAAGAATCAAAAAGGAAAAAGATTTTTGTGGGGTAAAAATGGGGATTAAACAATAATGCAACTTTATTATCCTAGGTTATTTATATAGCTAATCACCAATCACTTTACCTGATATATATATATGAACTTCGTTTGGTAGGAAAAAAAAAAACCACCCCATTTTTTTTATGTTTGTGAGACGTGATTTATAGTTGAAGGACACTTTTCGACTGCGGCATGTTTCTCGAATTAAAAAAAGTTAACGTTGTGCTTCGAAACGAATAAAAATGGTCCATTGGCTTCATAGTTTACCTCACGAAGTAAAATTTAATTAATTAATTGCAAAAGGGAGAAATTTCTTCCTTAGATTATCAATATCTTTGATCTTTTTGATAGATTTCGTCTAAAAAGCCAGGGTACCCCGAGCTTTGAGCCTGGTCGTAAAAAAGTGGTTTCTTCCATAATTGGAACCTTTGTTTGCGGGGAAAGCATACGTAGACATGAGAAAAGGACCGTTGTATTATTCTTTGTTATGATAAGCGAATGTTGCAAGTTTTAAAAAAGCCATAAAGGTCGTAGATCGAAAAACAAGTACGCCATTCTTGAAATTTTTTTTTTTTTTAAAGTTCTTTTCATCTCATTTATGCACCGTACAATCGAAATAAATAATTATTTTTCCTAAAGATTCATTCAAATTATTTATATATATTTATTGCACGTATATATTTATATATATATTTATTTATATCTTTTTTATCTCACCGAAACAGTTCAAATGCAAATGGATGCAATGTTCAACAAACAATATAATCATTCCATTGTTAATGAAATTATTTATGACAACACTAAAAACTTTCATCAGATTAGGTTCAATAAAAAAAGGGTCAATTTGTAATTATCCCTTCTTCGTTAATCACCCCAAAAAAAAATTAATTTAAATTTTTTTTTTTGTAAACATTAGGGAAAAAAAAGAAAACAAAGTTATCGATTGTTCGTCAACATTGTTAATGGCGTTTAAGAAAACCTTTTTTTATGTCCAAGTAAAGTTAGTTCTCCACATATCATATATTCCGAAAAAAGGAGTTTCTCCTAAATAAAGAAGGTACTGAGTGGGGGGTAGGACGCTTGTAATTCAACCCTTTGACAATAAGAAAAAATGTGGTTCAAAATCAGTTGTCAATTTGTAAAAAGTGATATTGATAAAAAAAAAAAATTTTTTTTTTTTTTTCCTCGATTAAGGTTAAAATATAAATACATACTATGCAAAGGAAACGCCTTCAGTTTAACCACTTGGATCGGTAAATTTGTCACGTACCGAATTTATCGTCATTTAATACACGGAAGCCCTCCACGATTAAACTTTCCTAATTTAGGAGAATTTAAATTTAATCGAGAGCTCGTGAAAATTCTTAAAAAGTATAGCTGATATTTGTTTCTATTTTTTTTTTCTGAATGGGAAAATGTATTTAATTGTTGAAATCATTTAATCGTTATTACTAATCACATAATAAATTTGTCGATTAAAAAGAGAGAAAATAAAAAGGAAGGATGCTGCGCCCTTTATATGTAGATCGTTGTTTCTATTACGCGAAAATTGTATATATTGATACCCCGATGATTATAAATCTAATCAAGATATGATAATCATTTTCATCAAAGATAAAAAAAAAATGTATCGGCCAAAATTACCAAAATTACAAATATTACAAATTATTGTTCATTTTAAGGTTGGCCTATCACATCCGTATACGGAGCTGATCTACCATTTTCTGATTGGAAAGAGATTATGCAAGGAAAATTTTTAATAGCATGCTGTGATTCTCTTATTGATTATTATTAAATAATGAAAGTATTTTATTCAAACCTGTGTTTAAAACACGCTCCCAAATACGAATTCATATCCGGAAAACTAATTGATTACATAGGAAAGTACAATGAGGAAATGGCTGATTTATTAGGATGCAAATTATTATTTAAATGATTGTCCTTATCATAATTATTAATTGGATACCATTAAAATACAGAAAGTCCTTCCCGTTTATCGATAATAAAAGATCATCTAATTCACCTTAATTCAATCAGGTCAAATTCTTTATCACAATTTGAATTCTTATCACCTGATAATTATGGTCTAGAGCCGATATTATCGGTCCACTCAAAAGATTACGTAGAATACCTTCAAACCGCCTATCAAGAATGGGTAAATGACGGTGGTAGTGAGGATGGTGTGTTACCTGAAGCTTTCCCTCACCAGAATCTATCGTCAGCGAAATTACAAAATATTAAAATTACATCCCCGATTGCGAAGGCTGGGTTATACTGTTTTGATATGTCTTGTTGTATAACTGAAAGTAAGTTTGATATCAGTTTATCCATTTTTGGTTCTTGCAGAAATTTATCGTTTGATCATCATCATTAGATACTTGGGAATCGGTCTATGAATCCGCACAAGTTGTAATAAGCGCTACGATGGAACTCAAAAGGATCGTTGAAGAATCCGAATCAGATGAATCAAATTTCGTTCCAAGCGTCTTTGCTTTATGTCGACCACCGGGGCATCACGCAAATTCAAATTTATGCGCTGGTTATTGCTTTCTAAATAATGTTGCGATATCAACTCGGCTCCTTGTAAAAGCAAATAAAAGAGTTGTTATACTAGATATTGATTATCATCAGTAAGTATGGGGGGGGGGGGAATGTTCCTGTGATACAATTTACAAATATTAACTATCTTTGTAGTGGGAATGGAACACAGGACATATTTTATTCAAATTCGAATCCGTTGTACATATCATTACATGGATCGCCTGATTATCCTTGGTTCACCGGTGATGAGTCAGAGAAAGGTGAGGGTCAAGGTGAAGGTTTTAATATTAATATACCATTGCCCAAGACGACCGATGATGATGAATATTTGAAGATCTTGAAAAGAGTTATTGATGAGAACATAAGACCTTATAACGCGGATTATTTAATAGTTTCACTGGGTGGTAAGAAACATTAAGGCACTTCAATTGATTTTGAAATTATAAAAGATTTTTAAGAATAATTTTATTATTTATTTCTGTAGTTGATACATATAAAGAAGATCCAATCGCAGGATTACAAATTACTTCGGGAGGATATGAAAGGGTAGGTGACTTAATCAAATCTATCGAATTACCCACTTTATTTGTAATGGAGGGTGGTTATCATTTAGAAACCATTGGAATCAATGTTGGAAATATCTTGTTGGGAACTACGTAGCTTTGAGTAAACTAACCAAAAAAAAAAAAAATAATAATAATAAAAATAAAAGTAAATATAAAAATTACCTGTTTAAAAATTGGTTAAATTTCTTTTAATGTTAATATGTTAATTTATGACGTATACAATGATGATTTATCTACCCATCTTGATGTTCAAATAGATGTGATTACATGTTAGTCAAACTTTTTAAGAGTGAGGCTTGATTTGCTAATGAGCTCTAAATAATATCACGGAATCTTTTCCAAGATGAGGTTAAAGGTCATTATTAATAATATAAGAAAAAAGAGAATGGGTCATACATGTGATAATATCTTACAATCATAAGAAACTTCGATTAAAAATGGGTGATACTATATCCTATTTATCTTTTTCTTCTCTGCCAACTTTGTTGCCGTTATTTTCTTGTTTTTCTTTTTGCTTTTTAATCAATTCTTGTAATTTTTCTTGTTCCTATTTTAATATTAATAATATGGAATTAATTTAAGAAAAGTTTCAATTTAAAAAATTCCAATCAGCATGAACCCTACCTTTTGTTTAATATAAGCATCTTCTAATGCTTTACCTCTCTTTACAAAAATATCCTTGTTTTGATGAATTGATCCGTCCATCACTAAGTTATCAAAAAAAAAAAAAAAAAGAGAGAGCGAGAGAGAGAGAGAGAGAGAGAAAAGGACGAACTTTATGATTTAATAAGATCGACAGATGTTGCACAATCAGGGGAGTTTCAAAATTTCCGGAATGTCCTGTATAAAATTTTATGTAACAATCTGAAAATCTGAAACGCTTAAAAAGAATTTTTAAATACTAAATGAAATAATAATAAAAAAGAGACACATGGTCCCATTTTGTAATTACGACTTTACATCATTAAGACTTTTTAGGTGTTTAGGAAATGTCTTGATTATCTTTTTGTTTCGTGTTCAATCGATACTGGTAATTCTTGTTGAAACGAGAACCTTCATGATTTTTAGAGATGCATAATATATGTGTATAGATGGTAAGAAAGTTCCATATTGGATATATCGATTTGGATTCTTACTTTGGAATTCTCGGATTTTCAAATCAAAAAAATGATACACAAAATGAAAATATGCTAGCTAAATTCGCGTTATAAATAGGACCCACTGGAAGTGCCAAGAGGGATCGATGGGGTTGGTCATTAAATCAGGTATATTAAACCCGAATTTAGTCAAAAAGTTCGACAAAAGCAGAATACACAAAATTACATTGTAAAAAAAAACTTTCTTTCAAAAAAAAAAAAGAATAATAATAATTATAATAATAATAATAACAGTAAAAAAATAATGGGTTTTCTTTAATATAGTAAAGCCGATGTATTTTTTTTTATTCGTCGGAAGTGGGTATCATCCAAAATGTGGAACAAAAGAACAAAATTTATTATAACATGGAAATACATACTATTATTCATTGTTATAGTTTAAATAGTAGTGCAATATAAATTTTTAATTTATTAATGTATGACTCATAAATGGTACACTCTCCAAATTTGAATAAATAAATACGTTACCCTAACACTTTTAGTTTTAAATAAAAAGGCTCATTTCTTCCCTTAAGGAAGAAAATAGGTATTTTCAACCGTACACGTATTATTTATTTGTTCACTCACAAAACAAAAAAAAAGTTAAAAAATTCCTCCAAAAGTCTAAAAGAAAAATATATATATATACACACACTTAATATTATTATACTCGAAAAAAAAAAAAAAAAAATTACCAAGAGTTTCCTCATAAATTCTTTATTATTTTAAAACTATTTTACCGTTAAAAATATTCTCAAAAATGGAACAAAAAGTTGGTTCACAACAAGGTGTTAAAGTGCTCTTATATTTTGCGGTAATGTCGGTATTTCTAAGAGCGTCATTATCAGGACCATCCACTATCGGTCCACAAAACATACACTTTGAGACATTAGTTGGTCCTTCTGAACCCTCAACGTTCAATTTAACATCAAAAGACGAAGAACATCCCGCAATATATCATCATCAGGTTGCTTTATCGTCGATGGACAACGCTGGTGTTTTTAGCGTTGTATTAGCAAGTGCCGCAGCATTTTTAAATGGGTTATCAGCATAAATACCCTTCCCCCCCCTTTTTTGATAAACTTTAAAACTTGTATTTTCATTTCGCAACTTGTACAGAAATTTTTATTTAAAAAGAAAAAAAAAGAAAAAAAAAAAAAAGAGGAAAAAAAAATATTTTTCTTGTTTAGATTTTTATAAAAATTGGTAGTTAATTTCGATATTTGGGTTTTCTATGAAAAATTTAATCATTCTTAATCATCCATTATTATTTAATATAAATTACAAATTATTCTTTAAGATATATAATATATAATCATCATCAATACATAGATAACAGATTTTCATCATGTGTTAGAAAAAAATCGATTGTGTTACGAATTTGTGGTAGAGTTATATATGATTTATCCCCAATTTAGTCATTGAATGAACATCCTTTAGGTGGATTAGTGGATTAGGATATACCATAAATAAATAAATGTCATGTGGTAACATGTTGTGTTCAACCAAGTGAAAATTGGCGGGAATTACAGCAGAAACTGCTTCCGCATCTGATTTATTCACATGCATATACATACCGACAAATTAAATTTAAAGTTTATTGACTTGAATTATAAAACTATTCCAAATAAAAAAATATTTGATAGATATATTAATTACGATTATTAGTAAATATATTTTAATTTTCTATATTACCTTTTATAAAAATATCTATTAAGCTTAAATTTTGATTTAATAAACTGATTAATATAAAATTTTAAAATTTTAACAAAATTGATACTAAAGTAGCTAAATATTTAATTGAATGTGAAAAGTTGTATAGATCAATATTTTTTTTTTTTTAAAGTATATTTTTATTGATTTATAATTTACATAAAATATTAATTTAATTAAAATAATTATAATTAAAAGAAAGTTAATATTTTAAATTTTGTTATTTATTTTATTAAAAAAATTATATATAAAAAAATTTAAAAGATTTCTAAGTTATTAATTTAAATGTTAAAATTTATTTATATTAATAGTATTATATTATTTTTAAAATCAAGTTCTGAGAAATTTTTGAGATTTTAATGCATTTTAATTTCAATTTTGTTAAAAAATTTCCAGAATCTGATTTTCCTAATAATCAACTCATATATTAAAGTAAATCTTTTAATTTAATTTATTTAATTATTTTTATTATAAATATATTATTTATTATTCCTTAAACTGTAAAGCAGAAAAATTTGCCTGCAAACATAAAAAAAAGTATTAATTTTTTAATAAAAAATAAAATATTAATGTTAATAATATAATTAT